GCGGTTTTTGGGGTGTTTTTGGTCCCTTTGGGGGCTCTGCCGGCGCTGCTGGGGGGGCTCCGGGGGGACCCCGACCCCAGGGTACCCCCTGCTGCTCTTTTTGCCATTTCCTGTGAGTTTTGGGTGAAATTTGGGGGATTTTGGGTGAAATTTGGGTGAAATTCGGACAAAAATTGGCTGAAATTTGGGTGAATTAGAGCAGTTTTTAGGGGAGGTTTGGGCAGATTTGGGAGTGGTTTTGAAGGAATTTGGGGAGGGTTTTGAGGGTCCTGAGACGGTTTGGGATGGATTTGGAAGGATTTTGGGTGAATTTTGGCACTTTTTGGGTAAAAATCGGGTGAAAATCGGATGAAAATTGGGTCAATTTTGGGTGAATTAGAGCGGTTTTCGAGCGGTTTTTTGGGGGCGGTTTTGAACGGTTTTGGGCGATTTTGGGGAGGGTTTTGGGGGTCCTGGAATGATTTGGGGTGGATTTTGAGGGTCCTGACAGGGTTTGGGATGGATTTGGAAGGATTTTGGGTGAATTTTGGCAGTTTTTGGGTGAAAATTGGGTGAAATTTCGGTGAATTTTGGGTGTTTTTTGGGTGAATTATCGCAGTTTTTGGGGGCGGTTTTGAAGGGTTTTGGGCGGTTTTGGGGAGGATTTTGGGGGTCCTGATGGGGTTTGAGATGGATTTTGAGGAGTTTTGGGTGAATTTCAGGACTTGTAGGTAAATTTTGAGGAATTTTTGGGTGAATGTTGGCAGTTTTTGGGTGAAAATCGGGTGAAATTTGTGTGAATTTTGGGTGAATTTTGGGTGAATTGTCGCGGTTTTTGGGGTGTTTTTGGTCCCTTTGGGGGCTCTGCCAGCGCTGCTGGGGGGGCTCCGGGGGGACCCCGACCCCAGGGTACCCCCTGCGGCTCTTTTCGCCATTTCCTGTGAGTTTGGGACATTTTGGGTGAAATTTGGGTGAAAATCGGGTGAATTTTGGGTGAAATTTGGGTGAATTTTGGGTGTTTTTCGGGTGAATTATCGCGGTTTTTAGGGAAGGTTTGGGTGGTTTTTGGGGAGGGTTTTGGGGGTCCTGCAATCAATATGGGTGAATTTGAGGGGATTTTGGGTGAATTTGAGGGGTTTTGGGGTAAATTTTGGCACTTTTTGGGTAAAAATCGGGTGAAAATCGGATGAAAATTGGGTCAATTTTGGGTGAATTAGAGCGGTTTTCGAGCAGTTTTTTGGGGGCGGTTTTGAACAGTTTTGGTGTTTTTGGGGAGAGTTTTGGGGGTCCTGGTGGGGTTTAAGAGGGTTTAGGATGGATTTTGGGTGAATTTGAGAGGTTTTGGGTAAATTTTGGCAATTTTTCAGTAAAAATCGGGTGAAATTTGCGTGTTTTTTGGGTGAATTAGAGCGGTTTTTGTGTGGTTTTTGGGGTGGATTTTGGGGATTTTTAGGATGGATTTTTGGGTGATTTTGGGGTCGATTTTTGGGGATTTTTGGGCTGATTTTGGGACAGATTTTTAGGGTAGATTCAGGGTGATTTTGGGGCAGATTTTTGGGTGTTTTTGGGCTGATTTTGGGATGGATTTTTAGGTGATTTTGGGGTCGATTTTTTGGTTTTTTTGGGGTGGATTTTGGGGGGTTTTAGGATGGATTTTTGGGTGATTTTGGGGTCGATTTTTGGGGATTTTTGGGATGGATTTTGGGGATTTTTGGGCTGATTTTGGGACAGATTTTTAGGGTAGATTCAGGGTGATTTTGGGGTGCATTTTCGGGATTTTTGGGTGATTTTGGGATGGATTTAGAGATGATTTTGGGGCAGATTTTTGTGGGTTTTTGGGGTGGATTTTGGCTGATTTTAGGATGGTTTTTGGGGATTTTTGGGTCATTTTGGGATGGATTTTTAGGTGATTTTGGGGTGATTTTTTGGTTTTTTGGGGCGATTTTGTGGTAGATTTTTGTGAATTTGTGGGGGTGAATTTTGGGGATTTTTGGGGTCATTTTGGGGCAGATTTTTGCGGATTTTTTTGTACAGATTTTAGCTGATTTTAGGATGGATTTTTGGGTAATTTTGGGGTGATTTTTGTATTTTTTTTCAGGTTTAGTCCGAGCCCAGCCCGAGGGGCTGCAGGAGCTCGAGGCTCTCGGGGGTCTCGAGGTTTTGGGGGG